CGCTTTGCGCGCACGCTTTCCAGCCGCGGACCGGGAGTCCCCCAGTAAGTACATTTTTCCACTTGGCAACCCTACTGATAATGCACTGATGGTCTGCGCCCGCAGCTTCAAAGGGAGGTGTGATCGTGCAACTGCAGGTCAAATTCCAACCCTACTGATAATGCACTGATGGTCTGCACCCGCAGCTTCAAAGGGAGGTGTGATCGAGCAACTGCAGGTCAAATTCCTCCAGAGGAAATAGCCTCACTTCCCTCCCATTTTTTCTGGTACATATGACCGCAACCTTGATGTGAATGTAGAATCATACATCTGTACTAAAATTCTTTTTGGACTGGTATTTTACTGATGAATTTGTACGCATATATATGCCATCAGGTCACAACCAATTTATGGTGACCCCAGCAAAAGGCTTTCAAGGGAAGTGAGAAGCAGAGGTGGTTTGCCATTGCTTTCCTCTGCAATCTTCCTTGGTAGTCTCCCTTCCAAGGGCGTACCTTCCAAGTACCAACCCTGCTTAGCTTCTGAGATCTGCCAAGGTAGGGGTATACCATGCCACCTTCCCTCCCGTGATGAATCTGCACCACTGAAACACACGCACACACACAAAAAACTGAGCTCCAATGATACATACCAGCACATCAAGATTGCTTTTTTGCAGCACTTTACCAATGGGAACATACGTATTGTTAATGAGAAGAGGAAATGATGCAAATTGAGACCTGTAACAAAGTGCAGTAGTGCAATTCTGCAATGAACCCCAGAAATAAGAAGGAATGGAGCACAGCACACAGCAAATTTCTGGAACAATGAAGGAATGTTAGAGGGGAAGCCTGTTCATCCCTGCTCCATGACTGACAGCCCCTGCACCTGGGAAAAAGCACCTTCTCCCAAAACAGCAGTTCTGAAAGGTGGCATTTTCATGGTGGCCCAATAAATTGGACGGATTAGACTGGTTGTCTCTTGTAAATTCAGATCAGCTAATTAGAAAATAGGTTTGGAAGCTGCCTTCTGAGTAAGTATATTAATTGCTAAAGGCAGATGTGATCCAGAATGAAAACTGTCATCTGTCTAGAACTGATTATGATACTTGCCACTTAATAACCACTAAAAGCTATTAAGTGGAGATACTTATGGTTTTCTGGGTAATCAAGATGTGACAACACTTTGTGATTTTCTTTTCTTTTCACTGTTTTGCCGATGTGATTATTATCAGCTTGTTGTCCCAAAAATCTTGATGTTGGTTTTAATTTCTATATAGCCAGTACATCAAAATTACCCAAAGATATTTTCCAGCACAAGCCCCTTAATTCATTGTTTGTGGAAGGACAAGTTCATTCTCAACTATTTTTACACGGTCAGGTCTGCTGACTTGGACATTTCGCTCAGCACATGATTAGCTTCTTCCACATATTTCTTTGAGTGCTTTTTGACCAGATTTATTTTCTCAATATTTTCTCTCAGGTTTCCTTGTAAACGGATCCAATCCAGGTACTCGCAGTTTTCATCTCTTGCTCTCTCTGCCATCTTATCCTGCCTTTGGAGCACTGAGCAGATCATTTCCTGGAGTTGTGTTTTTGTACTGAGGACGCCTATGGTGGCACGGTTCAGCTCCCCCACCTGCTGCAGAGCTTGTTTCAGTTTCTTAGGCACCTCTTTCCTCTTTGCAGTCAGCCAAAACCTATACCCCTCCATGTGCACCTGCACACCACAATCACCTGTAAGACAAAGCAATGATTAAGACCCCACTGGTGTGAATCCAAGAGAGGGAGCTAATTTTTTTTCATCTTAACAAAGCCAAACCCTTGAAGCAACAAAGCTCCTTAGAGAAGCTAGCTGTCAAAGCTATCACAGTGCCATGAAATCTGATTATTTCCACTTTGCTTATCAGTGACAGAGTTGTATGCATGCATATATATGTGTGCCCTGTGTGACGTAATAGAGTCATTTGACAATATTAAGCCAAGATTATCCATGCCACTTGCTTGTAAAAACTAAATCCCTGGTACAGTCCCACTGGCATGCTCTTCAGGGAAGCCACTTGGGTAAATTTGACCCATAATCCCATGGCTTTTTCCTGTTACTCATTTAGCACAAAACTATCAGGTATTGGATAAGTCTCTCTAATGAATTCTGATCTAATCTCCTTTCACATTGCTCTCTTGTCTGTCTTATTGTTGGGTTCACAAATGCTTGGCTCTTCTTTCTGAAGAGCACTTTGTTGAGCTTTTTTGGCATGAGTTTGAAAGGCTGACATTACATAGGAAGGATTGGATTTAAAGACATGTGAAGAAGCAATACTCAGGAAGGCAAAATCTAAGGAGCTGGAAAAGAATACAAGGGCCTACTGGATAGCACTTTCCACGGTAGTGTGCAACCCAATCAGGAAGTTATCCTACAGAAAAAAAGAAAACCTAAAACCTTGGCATCTTGATGATTTACTTACTGAGGCAGAAAATCAGGAAGTTGAATTAATCCAGTCATGAAAGGAAACCTCTGAATTTCCACATATGGAGATCCCCCAGCTTTAAACTTTCATAGTGGCACATGTGGTAGAAAGGCTAACACAACACAATGTAACAGCAGCACAATTGCAGATTTTGTAAATTTTCACTAGTGTCACTGGGCCTCATCCAAACCATTTAAAGAACTAAGCTTGTGTTGTGAGTTAGAAATCACATTTGCCATCTTGACTCCCCAGCTTTCATTTCTACCAGAGAACAGCACACTGTGAGCAACATTCAAAATACATTTAAGTAGCATTTCAAATGTGTCTAGTAGCCAGTGATGCCAACCAACAGATCATGCAAGGGACAGCAACTTCACTCTATCTGAACCCTATAGAAAGGGAAGTTTTATACTTGGTACGGACTTTAACCTATATGGGGAAAAAATCCAGAGCGTAATTAACTGCAATTTGGCAGAAATAAAATGATTAAAAATAATATCCTGCTGTGAGGCAAAGCACCCCTGCCCCCCCCCCAAGTTAGCATGAATGGTAGTGGGCTCATAACATTCCACAGGTGTTACTAATTGGTATCTCGGCCTATATAGCCTTTATCATCTTCAAGGCCAGAGCTGGAAATGCATTAATTACCTTCTCATGAGAACCTGCAGCATACAGGATGGGAGGAGGGAAATCAAGAGTAATGAGGTAATTTTTAGGGGATTCCAGCAAGAGTGTGTCCTGATTGGGTGTCATTATCACCTGATGTTGCTTGGCCAAAAAACTATAATTGATCTAGATGCCCGGAAAACAAAACTAGCTTCTATACTGACAGGCTGAGGGCCTTGACTATGATATGCTTATATTGAAATAGACAGCAACATAGAGAACACCTAAGCTATGGCCTTTGACACTTGGGCTTATGGTTTGTGCCCTCTAATGCAAGTGTCCTGGAATACAGGCAGAATAAGGCAACAGAGCTAGATCACAGTCCAGTCCAGGGGTCAAATACCAGTTTTGCAGCAGTCAGAGTTCATGGGTTGTTAGGAAAGCAGAGTCAAGGCAATTCAAGGTAGTTGATCAGCAAGGTTCAGGCAGGTTGAAAAAGCAGAGTTGAGGGTCCTTTGGTCACAGGAAGCAGGCAGAGTCCAGAATTGTGGTCACAAAGATCACACAGTTGTGACGAGTTGCTTCCACAATCTGCAATTCTCCAGGTCTGATTTATATAGGCATTCCTTAACAAACCTGCTTTACAGCCATCTGCTTGGAGGGGCTTCACATAGCAGGTATATTGTGCTGTGCCTTGAGTCACATCACTCCCAGTGGGTTCCATGTTTGTCGGATATGGTCATAAGAACATAAGAAGAGCCCTGCCGGATCAGACCAGTGGTCCATCTAGTCCAGCATCCTACTTCACACAGTGGCAAACCAGTTCCTCTGGATGGTTTACAAGAAGGCATAGAGGTAGAGGCATTTCCCTGATGTTGCCTCCTGGCTCTGGGATTCAGAGGATTAGTGCTTCTGAATGTGGATTTTCCCCTCAGTCACCATGGCTAGTAGCCATTGATAGAATTATCCTCCATGAATCTATCTAATCCCCCTTTAAAGTTGTTTATTCCTATGGCAATCACTACATCATTTGGCAGAAAATTCCACATTTTAATCACTCGCTGTGTAAAGTAGTATTTCCTTTTGTCCATGCTGAACCTACTGCTCATCAGTTTCATTGGATGCCCTCAAGTTCTAGTATTTTGAGGGAGGGAGAAAAAATTATCTTTGTCAGCTCTCTCCAACCCATGCATAATTTTATAAACCTCTATTGTGTCCCCCCTCAGTCGTCTCTTTTCTAAACTGAAAAGTCTCGGGGTGATTTCCAACAAGTGCTGCTCCGCGCTCACTCTTCTCTTTGGCCCAATGGTACATGTCAATTTCACACAAGCTGCTGCGCTGCCGCATTTTGCCCCACAGCTTCGTGCAATTTCCCCCGCGTCTACTCAATCCTGTTTTTTGAGGATTGAGTAGATGCGGGGAAAATCGTGTGAAGCTGTGGGGCAAAATGTGGCAGCGCAGCAGCTTGTGTGAAATTGACACGTACCATAGGGGCAAAAGGGAGGAGTGAGCATGGAGCAGTGCTTGTGGGAAATCACCCTCAGACTCTTCAGCCTTTCCTCATAGGGAAGGTGCTTCAACCCACTAATAATCTTGGTTGCCCTCTTCTGTATTTTCCCATTTCTGTGGTGTCCTTTTTGAGATATGGTGACCAGAACTGTACACAGTATTCCAAAAGTGGCCACACCATAGGTCTATACAGGGGCATTATAATATTGGCCATGTTATGTTCAAGCACTTTCCTAATAATCTCTAACATAGAGTTTGCCTTTTTCGCTATAGCAGCACCCTGGGTTGACACTTTCATTGAGCTGTCCACTATGACCCCATGATCTTTCCCCCTCTCAGTCTCAATAAGTTGTTTTTAAGAAGTAGTGGACAGATTTGAACTCTAGTGTAACATGAATGGCAATGGGTAATTTACATGAGGTAAAGTTGAAAAGTTCACACAAGAGCACCAATGAATAGGAACAATCATTTGCAGTAAGGCTTCCATGATATGCAGAAAGATATTACTTGGCAGGCTAGGCACACACCTTTCCCCACACTGACCCACCTGTAGCCTGATAAGAACTGAACATGTTCAAGAAGGCATGAATTCTGAGGACCCTTTCAGTGTCAGTGAAACAGTGGGAAAAGGGAAACAAGGGTGGATTAGGAAATTGGGCTGCTCATGCTTCTAAGGGTTTATGGCACCCTGGAGGGCAGGAAGTGGATCAGGGAGAGATCTAGTGAGGATTTATTATCCGTGTGATTCCTTGCAGGCTATGGAGGTGGCCTCAATAGTACAACATCTGTTTTGTATGCATTTCCAGGTTTTTTTTGAAAGAGTCAGGCAACAGGTGATTTGAAAGACTTCTGTATGAGATCCTGGAAAGCTGCTGCCAGTCATAGGCTGCGGTCACACGGAACATTAGCCACGCTAGAGAGACGGAAGACAGGCAGAGTTTCCGGGCGCGATCTCACCGGCACATCTGGGAAGCGTAGCGCTTCCGTGGCTCAACCGAGGCTTCCTGCCGAAGAAGTGCGGCAAAAAACTAGTACATCGGAGGTACTAGTTTCCGGAAACTGTGGGGCAAGGGTGGGCGTCTGATCACGTTTCTGGTGGCATCCGGCGCCCGCCCATGTCCCCTTGCAAACACGGGTGTTTTTCTTCAAGTATCCGTGGATGCGCACCAGCACCCAACGGAGCATGCGCATTTTTGGTATACACGGGGGGGAAAAACAGTTTGCCGCACCGCACGCTTCTTTGTTGCGCGCAGGATCGTCCTGTGATCAGCACCTCTCCCTTCCCACGGAACCCCCATGGGACCTCCACGGAACCTCCAGGGTATGTGTGCATACATTTATACAAACAGTTTTCTACCAGAATTTTCTACCTTGTCTACCAGAATTGTTTTTATTGAATTGTATACCAGATTATTTTGACAAAAATCAAAGATATTTTATAATTCATGTGGTAACAGCAGCTAGAATTTCATTTGCAACTTCTTGGAAACTTCCAACAATACCCACTGAACAAGACCTAATAATGAAGACTATGGAGAGTGCGAAAATGGACAAACTTACTTTGCTCTTAAAAGGGTAAATGGAAGAAGCTTTTATTGGACTATGGACTTCTTTTTTATGATTAGATAAGAAAGAAATACAAAGATATGAACTTTTTGATAATATAGTATGAAGAAGCCTTTATGAACTTTTAAAATTTCACATTCTATCCTTTTGTAATGTGAAATGATATGCGGAGAAGAGCTATATGCAGAAGATTTATTGCTTTGTTTCCCTTTCTCCCCTTACCCCTGTATGTCCTAAAAATCTAATAAAGTATATTTAAGAATCACATATGCATTCATTTCTTTTTTGTAGTGCCTCTATTTTTATCTACCTGATTTAACTTGGTTCTCTTTCTGTTAATTCAATAAATTTATTTCCCTCTTTAAGAAGCTTATTCCCTTCCATTTCTTCTGAGATTTGGTCTGAATCTCAACGCCAGTATACACAAAGTAAAGAATCTTGGTAATCTCGGTAATCTCGGTAACTAATACCCCACAATATATGTGAACAGATGTTTTTGCTAGCTACAGGGGCTGCACATGTAGAAGTGATTTGGGTAACACTACTGGAATACGCTCTCCATTGAAGATCCCAGAGCATTTTCAAATTTTGACTACACCAAGAGAGAAAAGGGCTTTTACACTGGCCTGACTGAATGCCTTTCCTTCAGCAAAGTACTTTCAGCAGAAGATACTTTGGTATATTGTTCTCTGATAGATTATGTGCCTGTGGATTAGAGAAAACAAGTGGAGATCTGCAATATTTGCACTGCAGTTGGGAATCCTTCTCCCTATTGCTGCCAATCCCCACACTCAGTGGGGGGCAGAAAACTCACAGGGAGGAATTCAATATGCCCCCATCACCAACAAACCTGGCACAGGTGCAGGTCCCACTGCCTACTACTGAGCCTGGCATCTTCCACAGTTGGGCTAGAGCGGCTGCTGGCATCCTCCCCCACTGCTGCTGGGCCCAGGCAGCAGCTGGTACCCTGTGCCACTGCAGCCTGGCTGGAGCAGCTACCAGTATCATCTGCCACTACAGTTGGGCTGAAGCAACTGCCGGTGTCCTCCACCACTGCTGCCAGGCCTGGAGCAGCTGCCAGCAACTTCTGTGGCCATGGCCCAGCCCAGAGCAGCTGCCACCATCCTTTGATGCTAAAGCTGGACTCAGAGCCATTTCTGGCATCTGTTCTGTTAACAGCGTTGTCTGTGCATGCACAGATAACACAAATGCATTGAGGGGATTTAACCCCCCTATATATTTTAATTTTGGTTTTGGCTTCTTCTGCAAACCTGAGGGGTCCCCCAAGTTTAAAGAAAAACTTGTTTAGCATCCATGTGGCCCTGATCTGCAAATTTAGGCATCTGCAGATGGGAGCCACATGTCTCTAGTAGATATATAGACTGAAACTATTGATCATATTGTCTTTGAATGTTCTTGGTTTCTATATGCTAGAAATGAGTTGATAGTTCCTTTTATTGGAAAGAATATTATTTCTGTGGAGGCCAACATTTTGGGATTGCTGCTATGTGACAAAGAACAACAAATGACTTTGCAGGTTGCAAAATATTTGATAGTAGTGATAAGTCATCAGACCTTTAAACCCTATTAGTATTTTAGTTGTGTTTCCTGTACATGATGTTGGTTAAGTAAGACAAAACAATGGTTTGACTCAGTATAAGAAAGCTTAATGTGCTCATATATATTGATTACCAAAATGCCCTTGTTATGATAGGTGAGGCAGGCATATGTATCTATTGCAGAAACTCTTCGAGTACAGTGCAAATTCTCTCCCCACCGCAGAATCCCTTTCAGTGCAAGCCAGGTAACCCTGTGTCAGGGAAGCAAGGCATGAATTGTTTTCCAACTATATGCATACACAGAGTCCTAAGGCTGAATTGATGATTTAAAACTTGTCTATTACAGTGCTAGATCTGTTTTGACTTTATTTTCCCCGACAACTTACTGTTTTCCTGCTGTATCTTCTCTATGCATACAGAAAGATTGCATGCCGATGAACAGGAATAACTCTCTTTCAGGCTCTGGATGGCTTTCTGGATAGCCCAATAATCCTCCTGACTCTTGTTGAAAGTCTTGGCAATGTCAGCAAATATTGTGTCAACCTCAGGCACATTGACACATTTAAATGAGAGGGTCTCCCCTTTGCAGGTGAGATCTAGAAAGATGGAAAAAAAGAAAAATAGGTTTTTAAACCCTGCTTTTCTCTATCGCTTACAATTGCCTTCCTCACCCCACAACAGGATCTTTGTGAGGTAGGTGGGACTGAGAAAGTTCTAAGAGAACTGTGACTGGCTCAAGGTCACCCAGCAGGCTTCATGTGGAGGAGTGGAGAATCAAACCCAGTTCTTCAGTTTAGAGTCAGCCTCTGTTTGACCACTACACCACGCTGGCTCACAACAACCTGCCTGTAAGTAAAAATCAGGAAAAGAGAGATGCAGAAATCACAATACAAGGGAGCCAATACCTGAAAGTTGTTGGAAAATAGTCAAAAGTATTTAAAACACTCAGAGTATCAATGGATCTTGCTCTATTGGAAAGAAGAGATTACTTTGCTTTTAAAAACCTTTATTTCTAAGGGTAAAAGGTATACAGGGAACCTACAAAATAACAGAACATCTAACAGCTACATTTTCTACTGCTTACTTCTCAAAACATAGTCACACACTAACACAGAGATAATGGAGAATCTGTCCTTCTCGACCCCTAGAAAGGAAGTCACCCGAAAACAAACAACCAATCTGTATCACACCTTTTCCCGGGTTAATCCCATTGACTCTGTGCCAGGTATCCCTTCCAGGTCAGTCTAAACAATAGCAATACTAGGTAAACAAGTTAACCCTATAATGACTGGATTGTCAGACCTTGTAAACACATACATTTCCAACAAAAGTATCGAAAATAGTTAAATAAGTGCATCCTGAGGATGAGGCTAATACATGTACTTCCACACAGAAAAAATGGGCCTTGATTGTGTCACTAAAAAAATATTTTTAAAAAAATTATTTGCTAGTCTAATGTTCTATCTGTTTTAATAGCCATTTGTTAAAGCTGTACACTTGCTAATAAGTATGGCATGGGCTCAAACCTGCATAATATTCTGTGGACCTCAACACTGATTCGTTGAACAAAGAACATATGTAGCTTCCTTATATGGAATCAGACCATTGGTCCATGAAGGTCAGTACTGTCTACAGCAGGGGTGTCAAACATGCAGCCTACAGGATGGAACCACCCCCTGCAGGGCTGGTATCTGGCCCATGAGCAATTGCCTCACTCCTGCTTCTTCCTCCCAGGCTGCTGCTGCTGCTGTGTTGCCAAGCCTGTCTTCCCTCCAATGGTGGAGATCTCCTCTTCCTCTTTTGGGGAGGAAGGGAGGGGGGAAGGAAAGGGAGACCGCACCTGTGTGCACCAGAGAAAAGCTTCCCAAATTGCTTTCTCTTGCTTTGTCCTTCAGGGCTGCTGCTAAGGCTGAGGGAAAGGGAGGGGAGAAGGAAACAGAGACCATGCCCATGTGCATCAGAGAAAAGCTTCCCGAATTGTTCTCTCCTGCTTCATCCTCCAGGGCTGCTGCTATGGCTGATATGAAAAAAGGGAGGGAGGGAGGGAGGGAAACATAACAGTACAGCTTGCAACCTTTATTAGTGGAAGGGAGCAAGACTCTAGTAGTGCCTTAATGACAGGGTCGGGGACAGAGGGTGGCACTTGGTAAGAGGATTTCCCTGCGACACCCACTTGAATGTGGTGTGCTGCAGGGGGCGATCCTCTTGCCAATGTTGTTTAACATCTACATGTGCCCCCTCACCCAGTTGGTCCTGGGGTTTGGGTTGGGGTGTCATCGATATGCAGATGATACCCAACTGTATCTGTTAGTGGACGGCTGCCCAGACTCCACACCAGAGATTCTGACTGGGGCCTTGGAGGCCGTGGCTGCTTGGTTGCAGCACAGCTGGTTGAAACTCAATCCAACAAAGACAGAGGTTCTATACCTGAGTCAAGGGGGAGTTAGGACAGGGATTGGGTTGCCCACCCTGGATGGTGTGCTACTTGTGCTGTTCCAGAAGATAAGGCGCTTGGGGGTGATCCTGGATGCCTCATTTTCGATGGAGGCCCAGGTCACTGCAGTTGCCAGGTCTGCCTTTTCCCATCTCCGGCAGATCAGGCAATTGGCCCCTTACCTCTCCCCCCACAACCTGGCTACAGTGACCCATGCAATGGTCACTGCCAGACTTGATTATTGTAACTTGCTTTACACAGGCTTGCCCCTGAGACTGATCCGGAAACTCCAACTAGTCCAGAATGTGGTGGCACGCCTGCTGATGGCATCGCCTGTTCAGGTATGCATTTGGCTAGTATTGTGCCACTTGCACTGGCTACCAGTTGAGTATTGGGACCATTTCAAGGTGTTGGTACTAACCTTCAAAGCCTTACATGGCCTGGGACCAACATATCTGAAGGACTGCTTCTTCCCATATGTGTCCCAAAGAGCCTTGCACTCACAGGACCAACATTTACTGGTTACCCCCAGCCCAAAGGATGTCCATTTAGCCTCGACCAGGGCCAGGGTTTATTCTGCCCTGGCTCTGGCCTGGTGGAATCAGCTCCCACTGGAGATCAGGGCCCTGCAGGACCTTTTATCATTCCACAGGGCCTGCAAAACAGAGCTATTTCACCAGGCCTTTGGTTGAGGCGGCGAGCATCCACCTCAGTTGGCCTCCCTGCTTTAGTTCCCAACCTGCTAAAAGGGCCCATCTGATTTCACCTTGTGGCCCCAATAGATTTATATTGCTGCTACCAATTTAATTGTTTATTGTTTTTATGATTTTAATGTGATTTTATTGTAATGAGTCTTTGACTTGATTTGTTGTGATCTGCCCTGAGCCTGTTTGGGGAGGGCAGAATAAAAATCCCAAAAATACATACATACATACATACACACATAAGTAAGTAAATAAATAAATAACATTTGTGGCAGGGCATAAGCTTTCATGAGTCACTGCTCACGTCTTCAGATACAGCTAGAATGTGAGTCCATCCATCTTTTTATCTTGGAGAGTGAAGTGATTTAAGATGCCAAATGACAAAGCAGGCATTGGTAGGATATGAGCTTTTGTAAATCATTGCTTGTATCTTTAGAGTTATGTATTCTTTGCATCCTCCTAGACTGAATCCTCCTGGAGCAAATTGAGACCTAGGTTTCCTGTCTCATTACCAGTGCCGATATCTCCATGCCTACTATCCCTCTGCATATTACACCTAATCCAATCAAGCTTGCTATTGCCATTCAGCATCTGAAATCATTTTTATAAAGTTTATATCTCCGGTACCTCATGTTATATTTTATGGCACACATGGCCAGGCCCAACATAGTGACATTTATGTCAGATCCAGCCCTCATAACAAATGAGTTTGACACCTCTGGTCTACAGCTCTCCTGGATCATAGGTCAAGGTCTTTCTCATCACGAACTACTTTAACTGGAGATGTCAATGACTAAATGTATTACCTTCTGCATGGCTCTTCTGGATCATAGGTCAAGCTCTCCTGGATCATAGGTCAAGGTCTTTCTCATCACGTACTACTTTAACTGGAGATGTCAATTACTAAATGTATGACCTTCTGCATGGCAAGCATATGTTCTACTACTGACCATTGGCTTCTCTCCAGTTATGCACTGAGAAATTCATTCAAGGTTTGGCTTGAGAAGCAGAGGAAATAATAAAAGACATGGAGACAGCTTATAGGGCTTACTCCAATTATATTAAAAAAAAATAGCCTGCCTGGAGAGATTGTGGTGAGATTTGCAAGAAGACAGACCAGAGATGCTATATTAAAGGCAACTTCAGCAACTCCACTGAAATTTGGGAATACAATTATCAAGACTTTAAAAGACATTCCATTTGAAATTCGTCAGAAGAGAAAGAGCTACAAGGAGTTAATTACTTTTCTTCAAACAAACGGTATATTACAGGTGGGCGATTCCTGAAGGTGTCATCTTTAAAATCAACGATAGAAGGGAGAAGATAGACTCCATCTTCAAAGCCAAGGAATTCTAGAAACGCCAGCTGGGATCGGGGGAAGACTCTAAAGAGGAAGAAACTAAGTCAAGTGACTCAGCTGCCTCGGGAATGGATGAGGACTCTGCTGTAGAAGCGGGTGTGGGAGCAATGAAAACTGTATATGTTTTTAGACAGAAAGCCGAAGTAAGGGCAGAAGGACTCTGATAAATGGCTCTTTGAAATAAAGAAGATGCTCAGAAAGTTCTCTCATAATAACTAATTTACTAATATAGAACAATGTGAAAAACAAGAACTCTACAAGTATATTGTTTTACTAACTCTTTTAATACTAATATTAAGGTTAACATAAAGGGGGTCTCCCACTCTTGTTAGTGTGGGTTTAGTTAGTGTGGGTTTCTTCCCTTTATCCATATTTGTAGTTCCCCTTCCTACATTTTTCTTTGTAGTTTGTAGTCTTATTGAAAACATAAAAAATACCCCTCCGGGGGTTTAAAAAAAAAAAAGGGTTGGCTTGAGAAATGGAGGCCATTGTGCCAAGCCCCTAACTCAAATGTAGCATGAAAGGGAAGGAAGAGGCTTCAAAGAGAAGCTCATAAGTAGGCTCTACATTCCATGCAGATACTCGCTGTGTGTGCAGCTGATCCACCCACCTTTCTATTTGCACCAAAATGGGATTTACTGGTTGCTATTAGGGACCTACCAAGGAAGGGACCATTTTTGCTTGCTTCATGTTATTCTTGGGGCGTGGTGTTATAGATAGAACTCGTCTTGTGATTGGTCAGGCCCTAACCAGGGGTGTTGTGCAGCACATTGTGAGAGAGGGCTGATGCTTCACAGTGCTTGATGTGGTTGATATATGCGTTTAGTGAAAAACAGACAGCAGTAACACTGGCCATGTTTGGAGCCAGGTGGTATTGCTCAAAAGGTGATAGCGAGTGTGCTACCTTAGTTGCAACTCACACTTGAAAGCTGAGTGAATTTAATAAAACCAAGTTTAACCAATATAATGTTTCTCATGTCTTCATTGGGGGGAGGGGTGTGATGGCTATGTAGGCTGAGGTTTTCAAATACATCCCATGAAACTTCAGTGCCTATTGACTTTAATGGAAACACTCTAAATCCCTTAAGTCAGAGGGGGGGGGAAAATTGCAGCCATCATATCCAGAAAGTTTCATCAGGATAACCATGGGAGCCCTACTCAGTGTTATCCAGCTGAAAGATCAGACTAGTGGTTCCATGACAACACAGTTTGGGACTACAGTATATTTTTTCAAAGCTACAGAATCTAATTGCATCTTTCTAAGCAATGGAATTTTTGACCCATTTTCTGGTAGTATTTCCAGCAGATGTCAGAGAGGGTTCTTGTTTGTCCTTTTTTTAAAAGACAGAGAGGAAAGAAAGAAAAATAAGTGCAAATAAAGAAAAAGTCTATTCAGATTTTTTTCCCCTGTACAAAGCATGATCTTAATATACATGTCTTCTGCCAAACTTATTCTGAGGACATTCAGAAGTATATTGTTTCTGGAACAAAAACCACTTCCAGTTTTTTTCTTCTTTGACAAAGGTGGAGCAACTTTTAATTCTACTCTGTTTTGGAGTAAGATAAACATTCTGATCCTGTTTTCTGATATGATAACATACATCTAAAGAAATGGAGGACCCATAAAGACTTGTGGGGGCATCCTTGTATCACCCTCCCCCACTATTTCCTCTTTCCCTTCCCTGGCTGCTCCCATGTGAAAGACCTCGACCCTTTTCCTGCTTCCTTTTCCTCTTCCCACCCACTAAGCCCCCTGGTCTTCAGCTTTTCCCCCTTTCTACCCCTGGCAGTCTCTCCATGGGAAAAATCTGGCTGAATGGTGCAATGGCCACCAGCAAGGGGCCAGTCCCAGTTGTGCAGTAGTCTTGGCCACTGGGTGGGTCTCTGTTGTGTGATGGTTGCCAGGCACCAGGCAGAGTAGCACAGTGAGGCTACTGCTGCCAGGCCTGCTTCTTTCTCTCCTTCCAACCCACCAGCCAATGTAACTATCTGCGCATTTATCTGTCTTCAGCTTTCATTCCTTCCCTAGCAGCATCTGTCTATTAAAAGTCTTGATGGAGTGTGTAGTGGGCTGGGCTTGCTTGCACGGTGGCTGTCACCAAGCTGGGCCAGGCTGGGCTGAGTTGTGTGCGACTGCCAGACTAGGGCAAGTTGTGCGGACAGTGAGTTTCTGGTAGTCACCCCTGGGCCTGTCCCCAGTGAGTCCAACACCATCAAAGACATGACAGTGGAAGTAGGTGTTGAGTGGGCAGGACTCATTTCCTCCCATGGAAAAGTCCCCATTTAGGGGTAAAGAATCATTAAATCCATTATTATTTAATTTTAACTGAAAATAGCTAGATTCTACTGTCCAACTGAAGCTGGAGTATATTTGGGCTGTGATCAGATGTGCAGTTTGGTCCACTGCTGTTGCTGTTCACTTATGACTTTAAAATGCATGATCAGACAGGCTCATCTCTCTGTCATGCCCCAGTTGTCTGAGTCCCATTACTGTGTGTTTCTTTGATACCTGTGAAAGTTTGGTCCTGTTGATCTGAGCTGGTTCCAAAATGGATTTCCTGTTGTCTGATTGCTCTGTTGCACACCCAAGCCATCAGGCAGGTCTTTTTTTTACTAGTTAGCTGTGTGCACATACCTACAAATTCGCACCTCTCTCTCTCTCCCTCCCTCTCCCACAGAGGCTGCTCAGAACTTTGTTTTCTTTAAAAAAACTTTCAAAGAAGACCCCTCTGTACTTCAGCTTTTTTCTGTGCTTTGGGGAAGTTTGGTGTAATGGTTAAGTGCATGGACTCTGGGAGAACCAGGTTTGATTCCCCACTCCTCCACTCACAGCTGCTGGATGATCTTGGGCAAGCCATAGTTCTGTCAGAGGTTCTTGAAAAGAGCAGTTTCTGTCAGAGCTCTCTCAGCCCCACCTACCTCACAGGGTGTCTGTTGTGTGTGTGGGGGGGAAAGGAGTGTGTAAGCCACTCTGAGACTCCAAGTGAAGGCCGGGCTATAAATCCAATCTCCTCCTCCTCCTCCTCCTCCTCTTCTTCTTCACTGAAAAGTTTAGAGTGGGAGGACAGCAGTGAACTACATATCCCAGCAGGCTCATCAGTGCTTGTGGGCATGCTCAAAGGAAGCACTTTAAAAATGGCCACCAGGCTGACTCCCTGACTCACTCTCTGTCTGATCACTCAAGGATAAGGTAAAAGTGCTTTGAAGAGTGATAAAAGGGATGAGTCTGATCAGGATTCTCTGTTACAGAATTAGAGGTGGGGAAACAGTGGATCGAACTGTATGTCTGACCCCAGCCTTGGTGTGGCTTTGTTTGAGCTGAATAATTATCTTCTAGATCATTTATAAAACAAAGAGAAATGAAATAATCATATACTATTCAGATTCTTACCTTCTCTGATGTCCCGATGATATTGTCTTGAGTGCTGTGTATTCAGGGCCTCCCTCTGTAAAGAGTACAACATACTTATGACTTGTATTGGGAGTTACCACTTGTACAAGACTGAATTCTGATTTTCTAAATATAATTGCAATATTGATCCTCACATTTGGAGATGTCAGAGCAATCCTTGAGCAATAACCATGACCTTTCAAAAAGTATTTTAAGATTCTTGCTCCAGAACCTAATTTCAACAATGCCAAATATCAGCCTGAGATTGTGTGAACCAATAAGAAACCAGGAGGCCTCTGAGTATATGCAGAATGCCTTCTCATCATTACTACAGTGGAATCACAGCAGAAGAATAGCCTAATTATCATCTTCAGTAAGCTAAGGAATTGAGGAGAGGATTTCATTTCTCCCATTAGAATAGGAAGTAAGTGTTGTACATACACAACATAGACACCCATATTTGATTTTTCTGTTTTGAAAATGCAACAGCACTTTCATTTTAAGAGAAGTTGTCATCATGTTGTAAGGACCCTGTACTGTCCTTCAGTCAAAACCCCTTAGGTAGTAGGTACCCCCTCTTATTTTGGACTTAGTTGTTTTAATAGGCATCCCATTTTACAGCCTAAATGCCAAGGGGGTCTGAAACTTGAGAAGTCTCATAAAGGTACCTGGGTACAACCGTCACAATGGAAAATCCCAGAAAAGTAGATGAAGTGTGTGCTGGAATTAGAAATTGATTGAGTGCAATCTCCCCCAGCCCAGTGGCATTCATTCTCAATAACAAAAAACTTTTCAATCCTGGAGACATCACTCAATATCCTGAGCTACCCCAGAGGTGTCCGCCCAGCCCAAGGAAGTTGCTGTTTCATTTACCAATGCCTGGTTCTTCACTTTCCCTTTTTTACTTCTTCAAGAAGGGCATTCAAGTCAATAATTTGTCCTGCACCCTGTTTCAGGAGCTATCTTGACTCACCCAAACTTTTGTGTCCATGCAGGTCTGGCTCACTTTACCCTAATTAAAGTACGTTAATCATGTTGCCTCACCCAGGCTCTTTGTGCCCATGCAGATTTGGCTCACAA